CGCATGCGCATAAAGCTCTCGCGTGAGATAAAATCTCACGACTGCCTAACACTGCCAGGAGTAGATTTTGGACCGTAATTCTCTACCCCTTCCCGTCCCCTGTCAGCTGATATGTATGATAAAGAACGTGCCACCTCTTTACATATCATGTTAACCTACTACCAGCAGTCTTTTTCAGAGCCGAAACACTGATATTGCAATGATTTATACGTGATAAGTCTTCTCAGATAGGATTGAAAAATTAAAAAAGTTTGAAAATACGAAATTTTTTTTTAAATTGTCTTTAAATTACCTTTTCCCACCTTATATTCTTATGATACAAAATTTTTAAATTGAACAGTTTCGAATTTGAAGAATTGTCGGAATGTGTCATTATTTCTCAAAAGTAGCTGAATTTTAAAACTTTTATTAATGGAAAATTTGAATAATTAACAAACGGCTCTGTTACTACTATGTTCTTCTGATACAAAATCTCAACCCAACTCAACAAATTCAAAGTTTTAAGATTTGCAGTTTTAAATGAATAAATAATTTTTTCGTTTCATTTCATATTTATTTAATCAAGTATTAGAACAATAATACAACAGTGTACAATAATATAGTTTTCTTACAATTTAGATATTTTACAATTTCGTACTACAGAAGTACGCATAATGTACAATAATTATACAACATATACAACTGTTAACGATGATAAGCGTTTCTTATAATCTACAACGGTACAATTGTTTGTAACTGTATAATATGTGTTATAATGCGATACAATGGGAGCTTCTTAGAATCTGTACATGTATATATAAAATTTTACAATTGCAACGAACAAGTAAATGAAATTTAAATTATTGAATGTATTAGTTATTTCTGTCATCACCTTGACCGTTTCAAAATTGCATATTCCAGCAAAGTCTTGCAAAATGTATTTGACTGTCACAACAGCGCGCTTTCCAAACTTTGTTAAATAAGTGGGGAATAATAGATTGTTGATTAGACTCTCTTCAATCTGATTTACAACAAAGAATATCTGTAAATCAATTCTATGAGTACGCATTTGAAATTATCAATCAATATGAAACAAAGAATAAGTCGTACATTCCACCTCGTCCTGTTCCGTGTCCACCATATCGAATGCACGCGTAACCGGTTAGCTCTCGTGACGCCACCTGAACTGCGCCGTAGCATAGTGATCGAACGGGTATGTATCTGCCATTTTGCGATCGGTAAACGAGCGTGTATTTCATTCAAGATTCATTCCGCGAACGAGACTGAATCGGATGTTATACGATTGCTCAAGGAACGTTTCGTTTAATGATCGATCGATGACCTGCCAAACAGTTTTCGCACGGTCCATTCGTAACCTTCCAGGGAAACAGAGAATCCACGTTCAACACCGTGTTTCGTGGAACAGCTTTTTTTCTACTTTACCATCACAACCAGAGTGACTCACAATTGTACGGTAATGACATTTATGTCACACGCGGCATTCGCTACGTTTCACCTGCTAGCGCTTCTTCAAGGTCCTCCGTATTTATATGCATCTTAAGGCGAACTTCATCTTAATGCGCCCACACGTCGTCATCGTTAGTCGTTTTATTCAACATTTTTAGACGATAATAGACCACAGGATTTTGCTCGGTCCAAAACGGTGAAGCTGTGTTTACGCTGTCCCGTTTCTCGCTTGCTTCGTCGCGTGTTTCTCTCCCAACGATACATGTAAGTCTAAGTCTTCTGAATTATGCAGTTATTACGCTTCAAATTTAATTTTATTTCGACTACAATTGACGATCAATGGTCTGATGTTTTATCGTTTATTTTGCTGATCAAGAATTACGCTATCAGTCTGTGTCTGCGAGTAATTATTATCAACTTGCTGTGAGTAGGTTAGATTGATGCATCGATCGCATTACAGTTACACGTATATACACGGTAATTGCGATTTTTTTTAAACGAAGTTGAACTTTCACCGTGATTGTCAACACAGATTGTATATATTAACAGGCCAATAATGATATTAACGTTTTTCACAATTTTCACAATTTAACAATTTTTCATTGATTGCATGATATTTCATGTGTAATTATGACTATTTTATTTTGTAGGATGTCATTGTATCAGTAGAAATATAGAACAATTTGTAGTTGTAATTAATTCTCAAAAACATTTGCTAAGGAATTGAATAGACTCGGAAGCATTAGTCAATATGATGGACATTGATCCCCCGGAGTTTGTGTCCAAAGATGATGAAATTCAATATTGGATGGATCTTGCTCATCAAATACATAGAAGGTAAACTATTTTCTTTCTTAGTTAGAATCTTAAAAGTAGTACGTTATATTAGAAAGTTGTTTTGTTTTTGTAGGAAAGAAGATATAGAAAGAGAGCTAGAGGAATTTCAAGAAAATTCACAATTATTAGAAAAGGAATTAGAAGCTTCATTAGAACAGGCAGAAAAAACTAACAGAGAATTAAGGCAACGAAATACAAGACTAGCCACAGAAGTGGAACAATTAAGAACAAGATTAGACCAACAATCTGCGGATTGTATAATGTTTCAAGGAAAGGCTCAAGATTTACAGACTCAACATGACCATTTACTGAAGTATATTAGAGAATTAGAACAGAAAAATGATGATCTGGAAAGAGCTCACAGGTATTTCAAAATTATATACATTTAGTTAGAATATCTAACATATGTTGTTGAATTTAGAATAATGTATTGTGTCTTATTCAATTTACAGGATAAATAGGGTAACAGAAGAAGAAATAGAAGCAAAACTTAATTCTGCCATTGAAAAAAATGCTCTGTTGGAATCAGAACTTGACGAAAAAGAGGCTCTAAAAGTTATAGTACAGAGATTAATGGATGAAATTAGAGGTCATACAATAAACCACATAATTTGGATGATGAAGTACCCAAATTAACACCGATATTTAATTTTATTACAGACCTAAAGCAAGAAATTCAAGTTCAAGAAAGACATCAACCAGACAATGATAAATCAGCTGACAGAGTTCGTAATCACGTCGATAGCAATAAACTACAGGTTGAATTGGAAACGCATATACCTCCTAGTGGTCCAATAGTACCACAATCCATACCTCCGAGTAATACAGCAACTTCACCATTAAAAAGTAAGATACATAATACTCTACGTAAAACTAAGCGCATGTTTTGCTTTGGGCCTAAAAGATGATTCTTAATATCATTAAAATCAATGGTCAACAAGAAAAATACCTAACAAAATAGAACAGTTGCAGCTAAATGGATGCAAAATTTGAATTCAATAGTCTAATATGTCTTTCTTCAGAAATTTTCCTCAGTAACAAATACCTTAATTAATTGATATTTTAAGATTACAAAACGTCCTGTCTAACTTATATGCTTTATTAACATACTTTTATGCGCTTCAATTAATTTTATCAGTTTGTACATACATATATAATATTGTTATCGATGAAATAAAAATTATTTTAACAAACTTGTTCTTTATTTTAGTTTCTAAAAAGTATAATTTCAACTGACTTGCATGCCAACTTTCTTTTTATTTGTTTTATTAAAATGTTGTCTTATAGTTCTCAGTATGTTTTCTGTTTTCTATAAATTTAATGCTGTCATGTATCTGTAGTAATTTGTTCTTTTCCTGTTTGCAATTAGTTGGAAACAGAGTTGTAGGGGGTGTAACTGGGAACAACAATAACAATAATAATGTGAATCCACCATTGGCACCATGTACAAGAATATTAGCAATGAACATGATTGGCGACCTTATGAGAAAAGTTGGTGTAAGTATCATCAGTTTTCTTTACACTTATTGTGTTTGGTTTTTTTATATTTCAAATGCTCATTTAGCACGTATGGAAATAATTCAAAGCATGGCTTGTGTATTTTTAAAATTAAGCTGTTTTAAGTTGCCGTAAATTTTAATTTTGGTACTAGGCAATTGTCTTATTTGTTCTGGTTTTTTTGAACAGCTTTTATTTTGATTTCCTCTTAAATTTGAAATGTGTTTTCTATCAAACAAGAAATTTACTAAATAATATATAAAACTGAAATATAGGTGTACGAATACTTTGTAAAAATTTGCTCAGTTTATATAAAATGCTTTAGTATAGTGTTAGTCATTGATACTGGTAGTGTGATGTAGCTGGTGTTTTGGTAGCTTGACAGGTGGGTCTGCATGGACTGTAAGAAGGTAAAATGCACTTGCGTGGGTGGAAAAAAAACTGTTTCCACTACACCCACTGATTTACCAACCGTCCAGGTTCACACACCCACTCAATGTATACGGCAACAACCTAGATCAACCAAGTGCTGACCAAGCCTTTGTGTACAGGTCTCTATTTGGTTTCTTTTGTTTTGTATTGCATACCTCTGTTCTGTATACACTATGCTTCACTTTATTCCCTACTGAATAATCCCATGCTTTTTCCACCTAATTTTACCAGTCACAGAAATCTGTAACTTCTAATTAAAACATGGTATCGACACTGGAAATAACAATAACAATTCACAAAAATTATGATACCTCATTTAACAATACTTATTTAATTGCATAGGCATTGGAGAATAAGTTAAATACATGCCAAAACCCTTCACGAGAGGATCAAACCGTCCGCGACCTCTACAGGTAACGTTACAGCAATGTGTTAATAATTTCGAAATATCACATTATTGTCTCTACATCTTTGTGCACTGCGTGTACTTTTAGTAAAAGAGATATCATGTATCAAAAATGTTTTTAATTGACTCTGTTACAAACAGAATTATTCTTTTAAGAAATCTGATTTATACACAGTAACGCTTTAGCAAAAATTTTGTTTATCTATGTTTAAAACGATACATGATAACTATTAAATGAATTGTACTTATTACTAGTTTCGTGTTGATTCTTAATTACATAGTGCTTTATGTGAACGTTAAACTTACGAATTTGTGTATAATCAAATGCTTCTCACAATCCCAGTTCTCTAGCTTTTTAGTATTTGAAAGTTCAAAATATTTAATAAGACTGCATTATTTGTCAAATAGCTCGTGTATCGCTTGTGTTATAATTTAAGACAAAGCATCTTATTTTTTATGTCTCTAAATCTAATTTGTTTAGTTTATTAGTTGTATACTATTCTGAAGCGAAGCGATCAAAATTAATTAATACTGTAAACTAAATTTTCGAGCTTCAATGTTAATTTTTATTTAACGTTTCTTTTCAATTCCATAACTGTACTTTATTCTTTAGTATACTTTAGTTTATGTGAATGACTTGTACAGTGGAATTACATCTAATTGTCTGTACATTTTCTTTGTGGTTCAAAGAGTACAATACTATATTTTGACTATAGTCTATCAAGGTCTTAATAATCTAAATCATAAGAAATAGTTGTAGATTAGAATTTTGTATTACTTAATTCTTAAAAACTTCTATGATTATTAAGACCTTCAATAAATTGGATTAATATTATACGTATTTTGGAATAGAAATTTCGACAAATTAATTATTATTGTAATATGATATATAAAACAAAACAATCAGTTTTGTAATATGCGCGTATATGATATGATCATACCAAAAATATTTTTTATAAAGGAGTAAAAATTAAAAATTTAATCGAGTAACTATGTTCAAAAACTATAATTGTCCCAGTTAACAGACTATAATCAATGTAACTGAAAGAAATTCCTGATTTATATTTTTTAATGTTTTATAGAATAAATATAACTTAAGTACGTTTCATATTATTATAAAGCTTTTTCATGTATTAGATTGAGCTAACAATTTTCAATACTTGATAATGTAAGTACACACTTGTATATAATATGTATATATACATTTTAATGATCGATGCAATGTTATAAATTATATATAAGATAAATAGATGCATAATAATTAGTTTGTTATTATAAAAGTTTCTTTAAATTATAAATTATAATCAATATGTGATAATGTATGCGTAAAATTATATAGTTTTTGTACAAATTTGTAGCTCAATCTATAATTGCAATATTTAAATGTTGACCTTTAGTGCTCAAAAGTTTTTTGTTAAAAATAAATTTTCAGTTACAAATATACTCTTTATAAAAGAACGTTTAATTGAATCCTATGCACAGCACAAAAGGATTCAACATTATTTATGTAATACAATGTTAATTGTATTTATACAAATCTTTCTTGCATGAAGTTTACATGTAATTTTTGTACTTTCTGTCAGTAACGTTGACATAGTGTTCGCAATAAAATTGTCTGTACTATTTGTTGTATCAAAGTGCTTGAAAGCATTTTACATTGCACAATATAGAACTTCTGTTTTGTCACTGTTTTGTTAAAACCATGCATTAACATTTTTACAATTGAGACTTACCTTGAAAAACAATCATGAATTGTAAATCATCAAGCTAATTTTTATGTGCATGTTGTACAGTTTATGCACGATTCATAAATATGTACAGCATTTCTCAATCTTACATAAAATTATATTTCTTTTAATATTGTAACTGTCTATTATACAATTTAATTAATTATCAAATGAAAATAAAAATTTTAAACTGATTGAGAAACGCTGATTTAATTGAAGTTTCATAGCCATATCCTCCCTTCGTATAAAATAGTAACAAAACAGTACTAAATTTTTTTATCAGGACTAGGCGGCAAGTTCGAGGCTTTGCCTCTGGCAACAGCAACCACATTCGATTATAAACATCGGATAATATTCCAACAGTAAACTTCTACGTTGTCCATTCTGTTTCTATATTTGTAAATTCTTACTATACTTCGATTCTAATGTCATTCATTAATTTATTATTACTTAACGGTGAAACAAACATGACTTCTATTCACTTACTTATTATTTATTTTTATAAATTATTTAATTTTTCTGTTGTATGGAATTCATTATTTACAGAAGTTAACTTATTATTTCTTTTCTTGAAATTTAAAAGCATATTTGGTAAAAATATGAATGAAATTTGTAAATAATTATTCAAAATTGTAAGTGTAAAGTTGATTATGTGATAATTATAGATATGTATTAGAATTATGTTATTGTTGTGTAGATATTCACAAATGATATTAAATAAATAATTTGTGAATTTTTAGTTTAGAAAATTGGTATAGTTTTAGGACAATTAAAAAATTCAGCCACAGTTAGAAACAATATTATAACCACTAGTGCAAATCTAGCTTTTACAGTAAATTAGGAATCTATGTCTATTTTTAATAAGAAAAAGATATTCTTTTGCGTCTTGCAATTCAATTTTATACTTTAAATTATATAAAAGTTATTGAACTGTGTATCATATCTCCAACATAAACTGTGTGCTTTTGTGCCACTAAATAATTATACAACTTCATATTTTAAAACATTTATATGGAATTAAATGCGAACTAACATTACTAATTAGAATTCAAACATATTCACAACTACGTACTGAATAAAAAAAAACCATTGTAAGTTTGTATTAAATTCCGCTTGACGTATAGTGTAAAAATTATTGTTTCCGTTTTGTGTCAATAGTGAACTGATAATGAACTGGAATTTCCGATAAAACTGAAATACAAGTAGTAGCAGAATTTACATAATATTTGTAACATAAATTTGTAAAATTAAACTAAAATATTTGTAAAATAAAGTTACTGTAAACAGCTTTTCAATTCATAAAATTGAAGTTCTTTAAACCTATCACACTTATAAAATAACTGTTACCGTCTATTAAACAGAAACAGGTAAGTCAATGTTTTCAAATTTTATTTATGAAACGTTTATCTTTACACGAACAGTGAGTACTTATCTGATTGAATTACCTTATGTGATTTTAGTACAACCAGAATTCTAGTACAATAAACACTACATTGGATTCCTATAAAGAAACTGTCTTATGTTCTAATGTATATTTCTTTTTCTATGTACTGTATCAATAATGACGATGATGTATGTATTGTAATAATGATATACGTATATCATAGAATTATAATGAGAAATTGCGGTTGCTTTTTAATCCTAAAAGTACTTTTAGAAGAATTAACAATTTGTTTTGTCTTTTGTTAAGACCCATTTCGCTTCTAAACGTATTTTAGATCTCGATGTTCTTACTCTATAGATAAGATGTAAACTGATAAAAAAAGAAAAATATAAACTAAACTAAAGAACAAAAGATTAATATTTATAACTGACAATTTGTATGCAGTAACATAATTTAGTTTACAGTTTTATGTAATAACATCAAACATTAATGGGTTACTATTTTCAAAATAGCCACCAATTTTATATTAATTTATCAAAGTTCTGAATTTTCTATCCTTATCATAAGAAATGACAATTTTATAACTTGTACACTTTCATGGAGTACAAAATAATATGTAGTTTGGAATGAAAATGTTTTATCCATGATTGTTACGAATGACGATAATAATAATAATAGTGATGAGAATAATAATAGCTGTAAATGGTATGTATGGGAGTTACATATTATTTAAGCACGCTCGCCACGAATTCGTCGAGCTAGCTGAATATCCTTGGGCATAATGGTCACACGTTTGGCGTGAATAGCGCACAAATTGGTATCTTCAAACAACCCGACCAAGTATGCTTCAGAAGCTTCCTGTAAAGCTCCAATAGCTGCACTTTGGAAACGTAGATCAGTTTTGAAATCCTGTGCAATTTCACGAACCAATCGTTGGAAAGGTAACTTTCTGATCAACAATTCAGTAGATTTCTGGTATCTTCTGATTTCTCGAAGAGCTACTGTACCAGGCCTAAAAATCATATTTTATGTCATATATATAATGTCACACTTTTATTGAATGTCCATATATATTGTCATAAATATTTTCAATGAATGTGTATACATTCTGTAAAATTCACCTATAACGATGAGGTTTCTTCACTCCACCAGTAGAAGGCGCACTCTTACGAGCTGCTTTTGTAGCGAGCTGTTTACGAGGCGCCTTACCTCCAGTAGATTTACGTGCCGTCTGCTTGGTACGTGCCATTATTCAACCTGGAATAACAAAAACCTAATTAGTAATAGAACTATGTGGCTATCTTATTTTAAATCTTATATAAAATATACGAAGTCGGTTGAAACTTTATTGTTAGTACTCTTTCGAATATTTTAATGTTCACATTTATTTTAATGCAGATTATAAAACATATCAATATTAGCTATGAAAATTTGAAAAAAAACACTGATAAGCTAAATTTAATAATATAAATGTAATAAAAGGTTCAAGGTACCTCGGTGACTCGAGACACCACTGTATACAAACAAGGAACGCGGGAAAAACGATTTCGAAGAGAATATTGTACTATCTAGAATAAACGAAACTTGGTAGTGGGGTAAGACAAAGGTAGTGGGGCAACAAGGGTGGGGGTACGATCCGTTGCTGTTCGTACGGAGGAGCCGCGCACCGAGGAACGCTGCGCATTGCGCAATGCACAAACTTTCGTTCTTCCTGCATCGACTCGAATAAAAGCTATGTTACCGAGAAAAATGTATTATGGAAATTGATAAAAATTCTTGGAACTCTCGATGGTTCTTTCCGCGGGAAATATCATTCAACAAATGAAACATAACGAATGACAGTCTCCGCAAGAAGAAGCCGAAAACATCACTCGCAAGAGAAGCTCGTGAATGATTCCCTCCACGAACGTCAATTGCAAAATGGAGGCAATACGACGGTACGTTGCGTTCGGACGCGAAAACCCGAGTTTTCCGGCACTTTTCACTCTTTACGATACACGTTGCACTTCCCGCTTATTTGCCGATAGCCAGAATCACACGTGACATAAGATGAAATACGATTTGTAGGAGTTTACGTACCTTTGAAAGGAAAAATTGTACGAGAAGCAAGAGCTAGCACTATCCGATTCCTTGTACTTCGATGGCAGTGGACGCTCTCCCAAGTCACGACTCCCTTGTCCCTACCCCCTAGAAATTAAATCGCGAGAGGCACGTAAGCCCGCGGTGCACTGCATCCAATCAGATGTCGGATAGCAGTTGAGCCTCGTAGTGTACCATACGCGATTGGTTTAGCCTCCTACGCCTAGAGTGCGAACTGAGAAGAACCCTGTCAATTGTAATATACATGATACTTCTCTCAGCAACCTCGTTTTACTTGCAACAATTATTGTCTCGTTATCGCCGAAAGTACTTAAACTGATAAATGTTTCATTTACAATATATTTCCCATGAGAATTACCGACATATGGCTCAGAATTGCTTCCGCGACGAACATTCGAATGTACATTTAAATTTGTATCTCCGCAAACGAGCTTCCACGAAGTCGTTCCTGTAATTCTTTCTGCAATGAAATCGGTTATTTCGTAGAAATTTCTAGAAAAACATGCAAGTTTTATCAAACGAAACTAGAGAACACGTCATCTTGACGTTCTATAGTTATCAAGATAATTTTTAAATCGTTGCTTCGAGAGAATATGCCTTTCGTTAATGTTAAAATTGTAATTTCTAGAATTAAAGCTTCTTTAAACGTTTTCGCTTGGAAAAAGTAGACGCCATTGTGCGTCTAAACGTAAACAATATTGTATCGATATTCGATAGACAAATTTATGACCTTTATGCATTTAACTATGCGGTTCAAATAGCACAGTACGAAATTTGATTTTACTAATGATTCTTTTTAAATTTTAAATAATATTTTTAATCTTATTATGGTATTATGCTGCAAAAATGTTTTTAAACACGTATATGTACGGTTACAATCCGTTATCAACGGTGTAATCTGTGCATTCATAATGATACATGTTTCATATTTATTCATGCAGCGCAAATTATGCTGATGTCTATTCTCGAAAAATATAATCGCACAGTTGCAAGTCTCGCGTCATACATAAAAAAAAAACAATTGAACAAATCGCAGATCCATGAAATATGTTATTTATGTAGCTGACGTAATCGCTACAATCAGTAATCATATTAAATATGTATGATCCTATAAAACAATTAATTATAATGACGATATTTCATGGAAATGTTTTTGATATATAATTTACAATTACTCATAACAATTTTCCAAAGATATCAATCTCTAGGGGATATGCAATGTAAGCGAGTGAATTACAAGGAACCATTTTCGGATCTGACTTTCAAAATTTTTTAATTTCGAATTAAAAATTTTGGAAATTTGCAAAAATAATGCGTTAAAAACGGAAACAAATTTCATTACATAAAATTTTGGAAAGTCGTGTATTAAATTATTTAAATCCATTAAAAGATTAAATATTAGGGTAGGTGAATATAACATCCAAACTTGAATTTTGTAATTGTATTTTATACACATACGTAGTCGTATTAATGATTGACGTAAATTACATTACATATTTTTTAAAATATAATTTTTCAAGGTATACAAAAAAGAACGTATATTTTATTCTTAAGACAATTTAAGTTAATTTACCGAAAATCTGAGTTTTTGTAGTGTAACTACAAAAGTACTAAAATAATCATTAATAAAATATAATTACATGGTCATAAATTTGCTAACTTCAATGAAATTACAAACGTAAAATATAAACGCAAATTAACGTTGATAATACAAATAATAACATAAATTTATGGCTTTCCTAGTAGATAATTCAGTAATACTTTAATTTTCTACAGATTTTCTTCATACAGTACTACAATATTACCTATATGTAATTGCATGTAAAGGTCATTTTACAGTATATTTTAAAATTAATCTATCCTAAGTTTGATGCGTAGAAAATTGTATTTAAAAGTTGAATTATGAAGTAGAGTCAATGGTATGTAACTGGCTTTTTTGCAAAATATTAAATCTACATTGTAGTATTGCTTATGCATTGTTAAGTTTACTTAGTGCAGTATATAATATTAAAATAATTATGCACAGTGACATTCACTATTTGTTATGATCTACATACTCTGCTTGGTGCTTTCTGTATATTTTCCTACCATCAAGTGATAACTGTAATTCAACTAAGCTACTAGATATGATTAATACATATACTTTATCTCCTGCATCTTATAGCTCTAAAGCCTGGCAGTGTCAACTATAATAATGACTCATGGAAAAAACTCAAACATGACGAATTTAATTATTCATGAAGACATTTAAAAATGTGATGACAAAATGAACTTGAATAGAGAAACAATTTAAAGAAATATAAACTGTTTAAGCACGTTCACCACGAATTCTTCTCGCTAACTGAATATCTTTAGGCATTATTGTAACGCGTTTAGCATGAATTGCACACAAGTTTGTATCTTCGAACAGTCCAACCAAGTAAGCTTCAGAAGCTTCCTGCAATGCTCCAATCGCAGCACTTTGGAAACGTAAGTCTGTCTTGAAATCCTGTGCAATTTCACGAACCAAACGTTGGAATGGTAATTTTCTGATAAGTAACTCAGTCGATTTTTGGTATCTTCTGATTTCTCTGAGCGCTACGGTACCGGGCCTAAAATACAAGAATTTTGTCAGAATCACGGCAATAATTTATAATATTATTAAACTCTTAATATTATAATTTTTACCTGTAACGATGCGGCTTTTTTACACCACCAGTAGAAGGTGCACTTTTACGAGCTGCCTTGGTTGCAAGTTGTTTCCTGGGAGCTTTACCTCCAGTTGATTTACGAGCAGTCTGCTTAGTACGTGCCATGTCTAAAAAGAATTATCGTAAATTTATAACGGACAAATTGCAATTAACAATCAACAATTTTTGTATCTACATAGAGATATTTATATATATATAAAATACCTAACGAAAATATAATTAAACATAATTTAACGATCAAACTTCTTTAGTTATTGAATATGTAAATAAAAAATTAAATTATAATGAACATAAAATAACTTTTCATTTCCCTCCAAAAGTGGACACAATAAACAAAATGGCGAATAGCGTGTATGTACATAAGAATTTTGTATACCATGAAAATTATAAGCGCCTTTAATGTACAGATAATTATTTATGATCAAAGTAAAGAAATGTAAAAAATGATACGTTTTTTATCATATTCATTTAATTATATAGGGAAATATAAACATACCTGATATTCAAACGTTTACAACAAGACCGACACACAAGCTGTTTCGTTCGATGGCGTTCAACTGTTGTTTTTTTCAGAAACGCAGTTTGATCATGTCGAGGTAGGCGACAACATTGTTCAGATGCAACATGGGATTGGTCGTTGTTTCATAACGTAACCTGCGATTGGTCGAGTTTCATCGAATGAACGTATTTGTTATGAAACTTACAACTTTACAATTATTCTAATAATCTATTACGCTCTTGGTTATCTTCTCCGTAAATCAGCAATACCGAGATATATGATTCATTTCTTTTCTCAGAAATATTTATGGAATTTTTTGTAGATGACATACTAAATATCATTACAAATCATGAAGCATTAGACAAAGAGAGATGCCGTGATAAGAAGGGGAGGGGACAATTGGCTGATGATCAAATGCGATTGGTTGCTTTTCTACGCATGTTCCGCATCGCGAATTATGAAATTAGAAACTAATTCTTTTTGAAAGTTTTAGATTTTTAAATTTAGAAATTAAAAATTTTTGGATTTATGGATTTGAAAATTCCAAATTTTTAATTTGTATAAAAACTTGGTCAACTAAAACTGATCAAATTCTATCAAATGTACATGTGAATATAATTTTATTTTTTCATAATAAACTGTATGATTTAATATGACTTGAATAAATTTTAGAATGATAAAAAAAGATGTTAATTTAAATATTTATCAACGATAACAGTAAACATTTAACTAATATCATGGTATCAGAAGATATCAATATAATTTATTTTTCAAATGATCAATTTTATTGATTTACAATATTCATTTTTATAATCACTACCTAATAATAGCATAAGAAGCAATAATAAACATTCGTTCTACAAATTACGCCATGAGATAATTATTATCCTTGTATTTTCATTATCAATATTATTCATATACATATATGCATATCTATAAACTTTCAGTCATCGAGAAAATATTAGAACAAAATTTATTTACTAACGTTCTAACTACAGCTACGCTAATTTAAATACGTTATTTAAAATTGTATTGCCAAAAATACGAGTCGTCAATATTAGCATTTTTTTCTTCATTTGCACACAAATGATGCTTTTTTTAATCTTTATTATTCAATTTGTACTGACATTCATTAGAATTCGCTACAATCGTTAATGACAACGAAAACTTCTTACTGCATTTTTTTGTTATGTTCCATTACTTTTTCTTTCGGTATGCGACCAGATATGAAATCTCGTTTGAATATCACGTAAATACTAGTATATTCATTGGTTTATGAGTAATCGCGTTATTTTGGCAGGACATGAACATTAAAATGCAAGCCCATATTACTTTTATACTGTATAAAAAAATGAGTATATATTTTAGTTTTTACAAAAATCAATGTACTTGTTTTTGCAGAACCTACGTTCCGTTTTGACGAATTTTCTTATATAAATCAAACGTGCACTTACTTAACAAGTTAAAAAAACATTAAAGTTTACAATTAATTTTGCAATATAAAAAATGCTACTAAAATTGTCAGCATATATTAAATTAAATACAGATACTAGAACAAAATAAATTAGTTATAAATATTTTAAGCATCACACAAATACATTTTATTTAAAAAAAAAGAAAAATGTTATTATAAGATATTAAAATGACATTATGGACTTTACGATGAAAAAAATTAGCAAACAATTTTCATTTTGTGTTTACTATGCGAAACATAAATGCAGTTTTAATCTATAGTATAATAAAATTATAATTAAATATACAAAATATTTTGTTCTTTAGTATCTAAAAGGTACTGCCTGACATTTAAACAATATATAAGATCTATAACGCTAAACATTTTTTAATAATTGAATACCAAACATCGTTAACTATATAATATAAAGTTTACCATTCGACTTGTTTATGAAGATAAAAAAAAGAGAATTATTTACTTGTATATATTTACAAATTATAAATATAAGACATGTTTAACTAAAGTGACTACATATACAATTAATAATATTAGTCGAATGGAAAAGTAGTTATAATTTTTTAAAGATTACATTACAACATGAAACATTATAATAAAATTCCACACTACACAAGTTTTGCTTGGTATGAACAATAATAATACTAAACAGTCATTATCTTAAACTTAAGCTTTCCTGGTTGCTTTTTATACTTCTGTTAATAATTTCTTTTCCTTCTTTAACTGGCAGCACCTTTGATTTAATATTTATTTAAATATAGATGAAATATTGCAATATTTTGTGTTCCTTCTTGATAATCTATAGAAACGAGCATGACTAATTTTTAGTACAACATTAATTGCATCATTATATTTTTATTCCAAGTATTTATTATATTAAAAACCTTTTTTGTTGCTAAATATATCTTTATACCTTTTTGTATCAAAATATTAAAAATTATATGAACATACCTTAGTATAAATCATGCAAACATAGAGTACACATATTAGACGTATATTCAAATTGACAAAATTGTATGCTATATTTGTCTTTGCCTACTTCTCAAATGAAATATTTGTAAAAAATAGATCATTATTTTTAAGATTTAATAATCCATAAAAATAATGATTTTTTTTTTAAATAAAATGCCTTAATGTAACTATAAACGAACTTATCAATTATTGTACATTTCTTTTTTTTTTCATTAAGATTTCAAAATTTTATATATAAGACATATTTATTTATTTAAAAATGGGTAATTTTCAATTATTTCTTATTTAGTATAGAATTTTGCCCGCCTCTAGTAAACATTGTAACTCTTTATGTATTAAGATCATTTTTAAATACATATAAACTTTGAATCCATAGAAAAATTAGTAATGATATGAGTTCAGCGTGTACAGAATCACAATCATTCTATAAAATGCATGTACAGAAGTAACCACAACCAGAACAATCTTAGATATCCACGATTTTTTTTCTTTTTATAGTCTATCATTATTATCTTGCAAATATTGTTTCAATTATTATTGTTTTTCCTTTTTTATCAGGGTGACCACCAATGGTTTCTTTTTCAAGATCTTTTGTAATTGTTTACTCTTCAATTTTTGATTTGTTAGAGCGCTTTTCTTTCTATAAATTCATGTATAATTTTCATAAAGTTAACAATAATTTTTTACAGTAATTAGTACAATATTTATAATGATTATTACATGGTAGTTATAATATTGTGAATTTTATAAATACAGTGTCAATTGTATTCCTATTATGCAATTGTAACTTCACCTTAACCACATTATTTTTGTCAATCTCATAGAATAGATACTTTGCAAAGTATATTGTTAAATGGTATTTCGTTTTATAACATCATGTAACAAAATGTGGTCACCCTGAGAAAGTATGTTGTACGAACGGTCTGTGCTTATTCTTTGATGTTTAAAAAGTTATATATCATACATCGTTTATCAGCTTTGTATTTTAAGAAAATGGAACATCTTGTTTCAGAAAATATCTTCTCGGTCGTACAACAGGTTAAGTAAAATATTTCTTATCGTAGTACACATGCTTTATAATAGTACTAATATACTTTTTGTTTTCTTTTTTTTATTAAATCTATATTAATTGTTTGTAGTTTTGTTTCTTTGCACTGTAAGAGAATGACAAGCTTAATAATAAACATTTCTTTCTTTCGCAATATATCAAATTGCTCACTACTGCGCTTTAGGCTATATGCAAACATTATTTATACCGGAAGACGGTGTTGTTATATTGCAAAAATACTAAAATATTTTAACGGGCGTACTTCCACATAATCCTGCATACCTAAGGCGCGGAAATCGAGTTAATATAAATAGTTTTTCGAATCAAATTTCGTTTAGCTTGGTTAAATATAAAAGTACCATATTAACTTTAACTTATCATATAAAGGTACATCTGAATGACACGATTAGAAATTGAAAATACAGCTTCTACGCTTCACTCTTTCCAACATTAAACCTTGAAGCTATGTTTTCAATTTGCGTTCAACATTATCAATTACATATTAAAAAGTTAAATTAGGATTTAAAACTACACAAATGTTAAACATTAATTGTCATTAATATTGTTCTTCTCCCTCTATTATTAATCAGGTAAGAGTTTATGCGTTTAAATTTTGATGAGATCAATCAACTGGTACAAATAATTTAGTGTGTCAACCTCCGTCACATCAGAAATGCAGAATTATTTATAGAAATTAGAAACATTAACAGATCACATTCATTTCTCGCAGAACGTAACTTTATTACTTTCATAAATCTGTTAAAAATGGCACTGTTTTTACAGATTGTACCTTGTGCACGTTACTACTTGTTTTTATTCATTTGATTTGTGTATTTCCTTTTCTTTAATACTTGAAATTAGTTCAATGACTTTAAATGAATCATTAATTAATCAATAAATAACCAATAACTTTCCAAAGAATAGTGTAAGAACTCGTGTTACAGTTTACAACATTATTTTGACAGTAATTATTGATATTTAACAATATGAGGATGCAAATGACTGACAATTTTCTAAGAATACATATAAGCTAGTAAATTTAATACCTCAATCTTTTTACTTATATTAAAATAGCAATGAATCTTTACCATACAAAATGCAATTGAAAACAGATACAATATCAATGCACAGCAAAGTAAAATGCATCAAGTGAAATGCAAGTTTATAAAAAACCATGTCAAAATAATGCATAAGTTATTAAAACATTTTCTCACGATTCTTACAAATTTCATTGTGCAATTTCTGATTAATGATTCAAAAGTTGTATGGGCTTGCTCTTATTTTATGCTCGAATGTGCAAGTATTATTTTTTTATGTTTTTCTTTTTCTATTAGTTGTCAATCTTAATAATTCGTAAAAGATGCACCTCGAAGATTTACGTCAACGAGCGATCGCACAATTAAAAGTTTACAGCCTTTCCTCGTATGTAAAATATTTATATCTTCATAAATACCGACATACCGAACGATAAGATCTAAGTAGAGAAATTGTTATTACATAATCACAGTTGTACAGCCATTTGCTACCTCGTATTTAAATACAAAAATGCTTAGATATCAGTACCGTAGAACTCGATCATTTTTTTTAATATACTTTGTGTTTCTGTAATTTCAGTCTGATCATTATTATCAAAGAAAAAGGAACAGGGCGCAAACAGGACGTGTTTTGGGAGGTCACTATTGGAAATCGCCAATTATAAAAACTTGTGCAATTAAAATCATATACGAGTTTACAATCTAAGCAGTTTTGCAATACTATAACGGATAATAATACGAATATTTCAAAGAGCATACGTTCACATAATAATTGCAGTAACACCAGATACTATAAAATTGGATCATTATCAACAATGTGTCCACGTTTGCATAATGAATGAAACAATGTGTTAGAAGGCTGAAAATAGAAGATGAAATAGAAACAGTGATAATGTAGCAAGAAAAAAACAAAGCATCCACTATTTTTTCTTTGTTTCCCACAATATTGAGCAGTCACTGTAGCAAACAAGAACACATTCTACAATGAATCAAATCAATTTGTTTTTTTTTTTTTTAGTCAGAGTACTGTTTATCGGAATTCATATACTGCTACTATATCTAAATAACAAATGCATTAGTCATATATCAAAACTACAAGTGATTAAAGGTGATACAGATTTATAGCAAGTATTCTTTAGTTATAAATCGTAATATAAATGTTCAGCAAATTTGTTTTTTTTTTGTAAGATATTACATATTACTATTTTACGTAATTCATTATTGTACAGTAATCTAATGATTATGTGTATGTTTTGCCGCCCAGAATGTGCAGATAATTCTCCCTCGATGTTAAGGAACCATCATCTGCCCTTTTATATCTGATCACAAATCCTTTCGACAAATGAAACAACAGGCAATCTCTTCAACGTTCAACTAGTGCATAAATAAACGTTCGCAATATGGCTCTTATGACTTCAATAATGTTTAACACAGGAGAAGAATCATTCGCACAAAACAGAGCATGTAACGTTTTGTATTTATATTATTGTAACTTGTCAAAAATATATTGTTCAATTTGATCCTGCCCTATTGTTGGTTTTCTTTGTGCAGTGTTCAACGAAAATCCAATTGATCATAAATTGTTCTTACATGAACGTACTTTGACAATTAAGTTTGAAATATTTAGTTTATATAAAGTTTTTACAATTATGAGATTCAACATATTCAAGATTGTATAGTACTTTGAAGTACTATTCTTTCGTATGATACTTAACGTGTTAACTATCATGTTTCTATTATCCACAATTTCAAATACCTATTACAAGTGTTTTTGATTAAGTAAATGAAAAAACATAATATGAATGATGGGTTCATAAGTAGGCAATCAGTTAATGCGTTAAATTAAATGAAAGTATAATGAAAAAGAAGAAAAATGATAGCACCTAAAGTTATATTAAAATTATACACATTTTGCAGATTGTAATAGAAAGAAGAGAAAGCAATCACCGAAACCAACAACTTGGGCAGTACTATATAAATATTCAACTGTATGTTTTCTTTAATACACAGTATTAGCTAATTAATTTATTTTGTTATTCTCCTATTACCCTATTTTGTAGCTAAATTTGTTGCTTTCACAATAATTTATGTTCTTATTAATAATATTTTAATTGTGTTATTGTTATAAGTAAAATAGTACATATATTGTATTGTTTATAATATTCAATATTATATATCATTCAGGAATATCTTTCCTAGATTTTCACGCAGCTCACCGTAATCAAGATACACTCCAACTTTATACAAAATAACATTGTTTCATCTATATAGTATCTGTATCGATACTATACATTATATACTACACAAACAAGTACACATTTGATGTTAAAGCGTAACACAAACCATCTTTCACTTCCATAATTAGTATTTATATAAATATAATCTACTAGAGAGAACATCATGATTACGAGAAGTCGGTGAAATGGGCATTCTTTACAAGTACGTTTAGCAACAAATTGCTACCATATTAAAATTGTTTTATCTTCTACTATTTCTATCGGAAGGTAGAGAAAGTTCTTTTTCATCTTTTAGAGGTATGTAATAATAACAATGTAACAATCGACGATTTTAAAAAGGAAACAGAAAACGAGGAATAGTATCTTTAAGATAAAATATATTCAAAGTATTTGACAATAAATATTTTTGTTTTTTAAAGACTTGCTCTGTGGTTGTTGTACTTATAAAGAATGCATTTAAAAAACATAATTGAAAAATGCATTATTATAGTGCTAAATTGATTAAATTCTAAATAGTACTTTGAAAATTGTATCATGGTGCATACGATCCACAGCGAAATCAAGATATTTATATTTTTTCACCACACTACATGTAATATAATATATAATCTATTTGTAACAGCGTTATTCCTTTTGTTTAAATTCTTAAATTTTTGTCAGTATCAATGGATGTCTCATTTCCATCCCCACCTCGATAACATATTTCTTCTACCTTCTTTCAAACACCATCTTCATGTTCGTCGAGATCGTTCATACCATGATACACAAAATTGTATTTTTCTTTTAGTAACATCTATTATATTTTAATATTAATAACCTGTAATAAAAACGGACCTAATAAAAACATTTATTTCTTTTTTGGCCTCACTTTTTGATATTAAACTATGAAAGTAATCGAAGAAAAAAGAAACACAACAATCAGTATTATTGTTGGATGTTAAATAATTAAATAATTAAGTAATGTTTGCTATAATACCCCCTTTTTCTTGTTGCAATTAAACCTCTAGTATTTTTTGTTTTCCTTTAACTCTTGTTTGATCTACTATTTTATCTCGATTGGGTTAACAAGGTTCAAAAGTATTCTATAGCCATAAAAAATATACTTGTTTGTTCGCATATAATTTGTGCAGGGTATTATGCATTTTAAAATAATTTTTTAATTATATTGTAAATATTAAATAATAGTCTTTAAAATTGGTTATTGTAACATTTTATGTCTATGAGGAAAAAATTTGATAATGTTGTCCTATCTATTCTAGTCAATTATACTTTTAGGCAATATTTTACCTTTATTTTCTTTCATTATGAATGTATATTCATTTCATAATAGTGATCTTTCACCAGCTACATATTCAAAATGAAAATATTCCATAGAGCCGGTATATAAAACGCGTTTTTGATGCGTTCCATTGAAAAAAGCTAATTGGCATGCTCCATTTTAGTTTGCATGTCATAAATATCGAGCTGTAACACGTATGTCACATCATATTCTTGGTATCATAAATATAAGTTATTTCTTTATCTTTTGATTAAATTGAAAAATCCTAAATATCCGTAATATTCTTATACCTAAAATGTAAAAACTTATAACAGAAAGATTGAATTCAATCAATTCAATTAATTTAGTAATGTACTTTCGTCGTAAATTACATTTCTTCATTGCTATCACACATTATTTAATTTAATGTTTAATTTCAGTAAGGATATAGTGTATAATATGTATGTGTGTGTATTTGTATATAATGTATATATTATATATTAAGCATACTTAAAGTTTAAAATTGTAATATACTACATGTATAGAAAAGGCATGAAACAGATACAAGGACTAATATTATGATTTATAATTACTAGCTATAAAAAAAGAGAAAAAGAGAAGAGAAAAAATGAAAGAAGAAAAGAAAGAAAGCGTACTTATATAAAATTTTTTACTACTGACTATTATATTTTTCGATGTATCCAAAGTATAAAAATTTTTTTATGAATAATAATTTGAGTATGTCCTATAGAAATTACAAAAGGTGAAAAAAATTATATATTTATTTATATATTTATATATAACAAAAACAAAAAGAACAGTAAGAGTGAATATCATAAGAGTGAAAACAATACAGGTACCATTTCATTTAGCTTTTAAACAATGAAACAGTTAAATGTATTATTTGTATCTTACACATCTTTGACGAATTCCAATTCGTTTCATGTTATAAATATGAGCAATTTTATTATTTTGTATAAAAGTCTAGAAATCATATGCTCCTTATATATATGTAATAGATATTATCAATACTACCTTTTCAACCAAAGATATAAAATTTGTTAATACTTGTATTATTACCATCAGTACGGGTCAATTGAAAAATCCTATTTAAATATAGCTTTAAATATAATAGAAATATCATTATTTCGCGTGACATACGTTTAACAGCTCAGCAATCGAGGAAAATTATCCCATAACTATTATACCTGGGACATTATTAATTGTTTGTTGTTGTTGCGTTTAATTATGGTATTACAATTTTTAAACAAATATATACTTTTAGAGGTCCCAAAACTTTGTCCATCATTTACGATTATATGGTTTTTCTTCTTTTTTCCTTTCACACTACATGTGTTTGTGTAACTGGCACACATACGTGTTATTAATGCTAACTATTCAGCTAGCACCCTGCTAATAAATGTATTTTGAATTATATATTAAATATTTCTTTTTCATTTGAAGATCAATAATACGTGTTCTTAATTATATAGGATGTGATATTTCAATCTTTATAAACAGCTATAGTAGCAGCATGACTGTTGACACAAGTATGACAAATAGAGACTTCGTAAAGTCTTATCACATCCACATTCACTTTGGCGATAGTCAAAATTACATATTCGATAAAATTTTTTGTTTTTTCTATTGCGATCGTACGTGTACCATGCAGTACAAAATTTGTTTGTTAACTATTCATTTATATACCATCGCATTCTTAAAAACACTGAATTCGCATGAAATTGTATTACTACTCACATTAAAATTCTGAGAATATTCGTCCTTGTTACTGAAAAAGAGCGTAGATATAACAATGGGCGTTTCAACGAAATATTCGGACCTAACTCGTGGAGACAACCGGAGTCTGGCAGTACGGGCACTCACGTTGGTTTGGAGCGCACGTTGAGCAGACCACGTAGTGGTTACATGGTGAGAGAGTAACAGTACGATTTTGTTCTTCGCAAACCATGCACTTTGTTGCCGTTTCTCTGTACAGCACCTGGAACGGCAACGACTGAGCTACCTATAGTGTTTTCATTAATTAAACTGGTCGCAAAAATTAATATTTACGACTAACAAGAAACATTCTTGATTTTCTAATGTTACGTGTAGATAGAGATGATAGAAGGAAACTGATGAAGATGAGGTAGTTATAGAATTTAATTCTTTCGCATCCTCTTCGAATTCAACTAATAATTACTCGAAAATCGCTTGATATACCAGCTGTTCAAACCTGCATGACAACTTTGTTTTACCTTTTCTACTTCTTCGAGATCCGAACGAAGCTGCGATTGAATTGATTTTAATGCAGCTATAGATAACGATCTGAGTTCACTTGTTCTTCTCAAAGTGTGAAGATACGGGCCACCGCTAGAAGCTTCGTTCTCCACCCTCAGTGCTTTTACTTGCATCATGGCCTGTTAAATAATATTATATTTACAATTATAAGGTATACAAAAATAATGAACAACACGTGGTAATAGAAAATACTCATGTAGAAAATTGCATTTGTTATTTAGAGTACGAATGAGATATTCTAAATACCTCGTCTCTTTGTTGTTCAGCAATACTTGCTTTTCTTTTAGCTTCTTCGCTCTCCAATTGCCATGCAGCACAAGCAGCTCTAGCTTGATTAATGCGTTCGTCCCATGTTGCCAATTGTGCACGACTCGATGTTAATTCCTCCCTGAGCCTTTGCACCTGTTGAATATTATTACCAGACAAATTTCAAAATTTTATTTCGAAATGAATAATATTGAATTAAAAATTTGGAAACAATCTTACCTCCGATAAAGATCCTGTATTACTTGGACTAATAGAAAATGCATTGACTAATGGTGATGCTGGGAGTGGTTGCGTACGAGATGGAGACATTCCTTGATTCGTGAAATCAAATAAACTACTATTAAATCCGCTAAGTTTAGAAGCTGAACTGCTAAGTTGTGAAATGTGATTGCTAAATGGATCTGACACTTGATTCATAAATGGCATTGTCTGAAATCATTCAAATAAAATAAAATGTTAGAACAACGTTGGAGCATCCCATACCAGTATATGTGACTAATAAAAAAGAACAAAATGTTTTATTTACCGATTCTATTGAATCTTGATGAGAAAATCTGGACCCAGTGAGAAAACCAGTTGAGTGTAAGTGTTGAAGTGGACTGGATGTTGATGGCGAAAAATTAGTAAGAACAGAACGTTCAGCCATTCCAGGAATATTAACTGGAGCTGAGCTTCCCAATAATCCAGAACTTGCTAGGCCTGCTGATATTGAATTGCTAATTGGTGAATTAGTATCCCTATGAATTGATTCTACTAAATTTAGGGGATCATCTAGATGTAACTCATCTAATGCATTTCCTAAAAATATAACAGAAAATAACAGATAATACGTATAACAAAAACAAACAAAACAAAAGAAGTAAAAACGAGTTTTCTATTCTGCTTCTGAATGTAACTCACCTACTACGGATTCAACAGTATCATTTGGATAAAATGAACTTGAAAGTGGTGAGACTGTAGTTGCTAACGAATGACTGCCTAGGGTTCCATTCAAGTTGTAAGCAATGTATAGACTCTGTTTCTGTTGAGCTTTTTCAGCTTTTGTTAATAAAGGATCACTATCTATAGCAACCACTTGTTTTCGTATTTCACCCTGTTAAATATTTTTTGAAATTCAAGTTATTGCTATACTATCATTGATTGCATCAATATGATCATAAATACAATGGCTAAACTTACAACTTGTAAAAGAGAATTGGGATTGTAAAGTATGCTCGTTAACTTCTGCTGATTGGAAGTATTTACAGTGTTATTGGAATTAGAATTATGCAGTTGAGCACCAGGAGCTTTACTGTGTGAACTGTTACTACCAACGCTACTAGTACTTGCCGACTCAGATACTTCACCACTTCCATTCTGTAATTTGAAAATTTGCTTAGCATTAGTAAAAACAAACTTTTTTCGTAGCCAAATACTTTTCAAAACTTACACTGCTATCACTAAGCGGTTTATCTTTGTCATGAGCACGCTTATCGGGTGGAAGCGCGTTGCTGAGAATATCTGCCAGATTGGTTCCACAATCTATAGGTACCGCCATGTCCCTCGCCAGGCTCATTTCTTCTGTTGGCAACACTGCTCCATCAGCACACCATACCAACGTCCCAATATATCAATTTTGAGAAGCAATTTTGAACGCTAAGTATATCACTTACAAAACGCCTACGTTTACCAAATTGTATTTTCAAAGGCAAAAAAAAAAAATGCCAATATACTTTTACACGAAAGCGATACAAGCGTTCTGATTAAGTTAGTAATTCAAAGTTGGCGTTATGTGAATTTAATTACGTTAAATTGCGTACGAAGCGATTAAAGATTTTACTTGCATCAGCAAACAATTTGTAACACGAATCTTTAGAACTTACTAAAGTAGTAGTAACTGTTTTACGTACGATTTATGAGGGTAAACTCACGGTCAACATGTGCAAAAGCACAGAAGACTCCGCGCGGACAATAACCAGCTTGTTGAACATCGTTGCATTTCGTAGATTTATATATTTCAGGATGGAATTGTTGTTCTGTACGTGTATGACAATATGTACAAGCATCTCCTTGTTCACAGTTTCCTGGTTCACCCCATTCCTCTCCATGTTTTACATTAGGGCACGGTGTTGACCTAAATTAAAATAAAATTATAATTTGCAAGAAAGGTTTGATTTGTTTCACTTATAGAAGAGACATATTATCCCAGTTGGGGTTCATGAAATTTTAGAATAATAAGGGTATCAAAAAATAGGTTTAATAAATTTGATGAGATTTTGTATTCAGATGATTTCAGTCATAATATTTTTTCCTGTTTCTAATTCTAATCTGTTGAAAACTGACTTTATAAGGTTTCATGAACATATACTGAGACAAACTATAGATATGCTTACCTGTACTTGTACTTGCGTGGACTACGTCTCTTATCCTTACTATTATGATATTGTGGGCAAGCATAGCCTTGTCGACAGAGTCTTGGTGGACGTTTGCAAGGTTCTGTCTTGTAATTACTTAGTACATAATTTGTATCCTGCCACTTTGGGTCTTCGTTCATTAAGTTTCGTTCCTTGTCAAGTATGTTTGGTCCATTTGACGATGAATTAGGGTCAGAATCAGGGTTTTCCAGCGCTTGTATCTCTTTGATATCATAAACAGGAGGACGTAGATCATGATTGCCATGTGCAAATGCACAGTGAGGACCATTCTTAACACAAAATCCACGTGTGTCAGTGTCATGAACACACATGCAAGTTTTGTAATAGCGCAGGTGATAGCGTCGCTCTGTATCGCCAGCGGTGCGATGAAGGAATGGGCACCTAAATAACAACAAATAAAACATAAATTAGTTTGAATCCATTATTGCAATTCGCATATAACTACTGGTCAAAAATTTGGAATCATTACATGAATTAAAATAAGAGAACGTTTTCTTTGTTAAAAGTTAATAAACATTGTTTGCATTAAATTACTTTTGACAATGGTTTGATATATTTCAAGCATTCTGGCAGTGCCTTTTTAGTTGTTTCAAATTACAAATCATTTTATAATTCTTAGGGAAAAGTTTATTAGGAAATTTTATTTTAATAAAAATTAGTAAATGATTCCAAATTCTTGACTTATAATATAAATGTAAATAAAACAAATAGAAATGTGACTAAAAAATAAATTATTACTAAATAATTAATAGCAACAATTATTTATTAAATTCACTAATTTTTGCATATTAAAAAAAGAGAACGAATTTTGCTCTAAGTTGCTACTTCAATAAATATAATATAAATAAAATTGTCTATCAATGTTAAGGAAAATAAAAATAAAGTTTTAAATTATACTATATTTAATACAAATTTCGATATAGTTTCCCGCACGATAATTTCGCCATAATAGTTTCAATGTTTTGTACGGTGCAGCAACAAGGATATTACCACGTATAATTCTTTGTTGCCACCATGCCACGTAAGAGAAAATCAATATCAGTAGGCTCTTTGTTTGGAAACTCGAGGCACTGGATATTTTGGAGGGAAAACCGATCGCGGATATTTCCATCCATACACTGTGTCCAAAATAAATATTTTAATATCGCTTATCGACTGCTATTGATATCGGCATATAATCATTCTTGAGTTCTGCCGAATAATACATGACCTTGTATAACGAGTTGTCAAAAATAAAATAAGAGAAATCAATACAAGTAACAACTCGAATAAAAGTGTTACTAAAATACATATGTACAATATTATATAATTTTGTAACTAATATTTATAATCGATAAAAAATTGTAAAGCTAATATGATTTACAGTTATATCAATTTTCTTCAATTTTCAATGTGTGCAATTAGACATAAACACGTTCAATTAAAAAATACGAAAGTTTATCAACGTAGTAATAATTAATAACTCTAATATCAACGTTTGGAAAGATTACGATAAGCGCAGTCACGCACAAGCTAATTATCAATTAAAATAACGCTGGCAAGCTTATGTTTTCGAAGGAAAAAGTTTGATAACATTTTTAAAGCCTACGCTAGTACCTATAGACGTAATTTCCATATTTAATAATTGATAAATAAAAATTTATGTATATAGCGCAATATGCACGAAGTTACGTTTCGAAAGTTGATAAAAAGTGCAGTGAAAACTTTTTCATTCATTTCATCTAACTAGCGGTATCGTAGAAAGTTTAAGATAAAAATTATTTATAAACATTCCCGGTGTTATTTAAGACCATTATTTAGCGTCGAATATCCTGTTATTAATATCTTCTTAAAAGAAAATGGTTGCTGTTGTTTTCATTAGTAGATAACAAGTTTGCAATGCTCTTGCTGATAATTTTATCCAATAGTTCGTTTTAAACGATTTTTATACAATGTTATTTGAACTGAGCATTATTTAAAGATTTTCGATAAAAATATTCGATTATTTTTTGTACATTGTTTTTACGCAAAAAAAAAATTGCGTACAATATTCTTGACCTCTTAAATATAAACAAATCTTCACTCTTAGTAATTAAAATGATTCCTTGCTGACCTAAATTTCGTGATATTCTATACAAAGCCTATCACCAAAAAGGAAAGAAGTCAATAACCTCACTGTTACATAAATATCTTTGCCTTTCATTTTCCCAGTTATATTTTTAGAATATAAACAACCTCTATTTCACAAATTTTTCTACATAATCATTTGACCGTTAAACGATCAAAATATCGACGAATAAAATTTAATGAAAATCGTTTGGACGTGTATTAAACATGGCTACGAAAGATATAGCTACATCGGAATCCATAGAGAAATGTCTAGCTACGTTAGTAGGGTTATCTACAATGGATGACAACAGGTTAGCAGCCGACGACGGTAGCTATATTCTGTCACGAGCAATGGCGGTTACGAATAACCATATACATACATTCACGAGAAGACAAACACGCGACTTATGACGAATCGTTTTAATCTTCGAGTTAATGCGATTGCACGAATATATTCGTATTATGTTGTTACGTTTGAAAAATAACGGTTAAATACAAAAGATGACTAATTCCATCTACGTAACCTTTTTATTTCCTTTCCTTGCGTTTGTAGAATTTAGGTCAAATTCTTACCCGCGAGAAGATTCACGTAACTATGCAACAATCAAATCTGAAAAACCTTAAAATAACTTACTACATTTTTTTAATACAAGCCCACGTCAAAACGGAGGTACACCATTGACGTAACTAATATTTTTCTCAAGATTAGATTTTTTTGTTGAAATTTAGGAATTTTACAAATTAAAAATTTGGAGATCTTAACATTTAGGAATTTGGAAATAAAAAAATTGAGAATTTTAAATTTTTAATATGATCCTACATTTTACATATTTTTACATGGGGCAGGCATCAGTATTTTTTGTTTTTGGAAAACAGGTTCGCACTAAATCTTGCATAGTTACGCCAATGGGATACCACGAATAAAAATATAAATGAAAACACCGATCGATAATAATGGAACACGTAAAAAAGGAATAATAAAAAGCGAAGAATCGTAAATGTGGATAACATATAAAACCAAAGAACTAAAAAATGTGCGGGCAGTTTTAGTTTAAAACAGTGGCTATGAGTAAGCAAGAGATTACGATGAATTATGCAATTCAAAAAAGTTTGTGCTGAGGGTTTGGATTCCCAAATTTTTGTAAGGCAAGACCCACTTCTGAAAATGCTAATTTTTAATAAATATTAATTTTTGTATAAATATTAAAGAAAAAATATTACTCTACTTTTTAATTTTTATATTTAATTTAGTGGGTCCGGAATCACACCTTGGGAATCCCTGATATGGTGAAACCGGAAGTGGGCATTATTTACAAAGAACTATATTTATCAATTAAGAAATAAGTTTGGTTTCTTAATTATATAAATGAGATAATTTAGTGCGTCATTATATGTACATCTATGCGTAATAATTCATAGGTGTGTTAATTTTTCAACGATATATTACAATGTTCAAAGAGGGTTCTGTATATAAAAGGCGATGCAAAATGAATAGACGAGAAGATCGTTTCGAGATGCACGTAAATAGGTGAAACTATTATGGCTACGTTTACTACTTCCATGCTGCTTTCTCGCTGTATACAAAATTCAACATGCGAAAGTACAGCGATGTATTTCGATTATATCGTCTCAACTTATATGCACACCACGCACACGTGTCATCAGAAATTACGTCGAAATTGACCCGTTTACAGTTACTGACAAAATTGAGAATATATACATTATAAAAATTTTATACATTCAATTCTTTCATAAATCACATTTCTTTTATATTATAGTGTTAATAAATAATTATAACATACAATAAAGAAAGAAATATACATAATACATTTTATTGCTACACGCCTGAAAGAACATACACACAACACTGTTACATATATTAATCAATAATTATGACTTTGATACTTCGTTACATATGCATTTGAGCATATAAAAGCTTGCAAACGTTGTGGCATAAATTCGGATTTAATTTCAATGACTATAGTGGAGTGTAAGTAATTTTGAACCATTAGTTATCATTATTAAAAATTGAATATAAGTATACGACAGGCCTTTATAAATTTTTAAAAATGTTAATATTTTTCATAATTGTATAAATAAATATTTTCAACTTCAGCTGCCATATAACTTTATGACAATATTAAATTTTTTATTTGCCTCCTATCATCCAAATTAAAATTATATAATGCATACAAAAAACTTGACTCGTGAAAAAATTGTTTGTTTTAATTGTACACGACACACTTTGATAGCGTGTTGCACTCAATTTTGTAGGTAACTGTAGGTTATTCTCGACGAGAGTTACGTCGTTATGCATTACCACGCAGATGCGCGTTACAACACACGCGTGTCAACGACACAAAGAAACACGACGGAATCGTATATTTCTTTTTTCTTTCTCTCTTAACATACATTTATTCCGAACGATATTGAGGCGTGATTTCATTCATGCTAGAAACTGATTTGCATGTAGTTTCTAGGCATGGAAACGAGAAGTTTACGTTTTAATAGCGGGGCAATTTCTAATACGTTTATTGTATGTATATGTATACGAGCGGAATAGCAAGCAACAAAATGGTATACTCAGGTGCAACGTAGGGTTCCTTTGGATATGAACAGGGGAGGAACCTCCCACTAATTGCCTTCGATTTTGGGTTACCGATTATGTAAATTTTTACAGGTCTATATTACAACATTTCTGATCTTTAGTTCAAACATTTGAAGATTTGTCAATCAAAAACAAAAGAGTGGAGGAGCTTCTCCCTACGTCGACATTTTGACTAGAAAAAATCTCGGTGTTTGTCATTGTACAGTGCAAAGCATGGTAGGCTTCCTTAGTAACAATGACGTACAAGAAATCCCCCAGCACTTGTTTGTAAACATTGACTGAAAAAATTTGTTCCGAATTTTCAAATATCTAAATCTGCAAAATGTCAAATTAAAAAATTTCCGAAATTCCCAAATATCTAAATATATAAATTTAAAAATTATAATTAAAGAAGACCCCACCACTTGTGCAAACTAAGTGTGTACGTGACAATTCTCGGGTGTTACATCGAATGGTAGAACTCTCTTCCCCTGTATCGCCATTTTCCCTAGGGAAGCCTATTATGCCCGACACTGTACGTTTCACGGTCGAATCGGTGCAGACGAGAAACGACAAAATCGAAGAACGTAAAAGAGGGCTAATGAGTCGAAACTGAAAAAAGAGATCATGGTCGAGCAGTGCGACGCGACAGATCGATGCATCTGACATGAACAGTAAATATACCACCATTCGTCTGAATGGCTTCTACCGACGGAACGATCCCCGTCGTCAAAAGAGAAATTCATTTCCGCATCTTCAAACAGATAAACTTACTCGTCTCCATCTGGGCATATGCCGGTGGTCTCGTCGTATTTGGTGCAATAATTATCGGCGCTATAGTTGAAGGTGCGGTCCCTCTTTCTCACCGGTCTGCGCCTCCGCTGGTTCATAAAGTGCCAGTTGAAGCACGTGAACGGTCGGTGTTGTGTGCATTTGCGCTGTATAAAGAGGGGACATTGTTCGACGCGAAATTCCTTCAAGTATCTGGAATGCGAATCCACAGAGCTACACATTATTTCGTGGCGTATTTTGACGCGCGCGTCGATGCCGCGCTGCTCGCGGCCCTCCCTTCTTTCTCCGTTCTCTTTTCTTTTCTTTTCTTTTATTTATTTATTTACGTATACGCGTTATATATATTACTTTCTTTTTATGTAATCTCGTGTTTATTCACTCCACTATTTATCCTCGATCCACGCACTTTATTCTCGGCCTCTGATTCCGATCTCACTTTTTTCTCTTTCTCTCACGTAGCACGCGACCGGCCCGGCGGCCGCTTACTTACGTGTAATGATTCGCCTTTTCCGCCTGAGCTGTCAACAAAGGTTTAGAGTCGGACTTCATCTTGGACAACACAAATTAAAAAATTTCCGAAATTCCCAAATATCTAAATATATAAATTTAAAAATTATAATTAAAGAAGACCCCACCACTTGTGCAAACTAAGTGTGTACGTGACAATTCTCGGGTGTTACATCGAATGGTAGAACTCTCTTCCCCTGTATCGCCATTTTCCCTAGGGAAGCCTATTATGCCCGACACTGTACGTTTCACGGTCGAATCGGTGCAGACGAGAAACGACAAAATCGAAGAACGTAAAAGAGGGCTAATGAGTCGAAACTGAAAAAAGAGATCATGGTCGAGCAGTGCGACGCGACAGATCGATGCATCTGACATGAACAGTAAATATACCACCATTCGTCTGAATGGCTTCTACCGACGGAACGATCCCCGTCGTCAAAAGAGAAATTCATTTCCGCATCTTCAAACAGATAAACTTACTCGTCTCCATCTGGGCATATGCCGGTGGTCTCGTCGTATTTGGTGCAATAATTATCGGCGCTATAGTTGAAGGTGCGGTCCCTCTTTCTCACCGGTCTGCGCCTCCGCTGGTTCATAAAGTGCCAGTTGAAGCACGTGAACGGTCGGTGTTGTGTGCATTTGCGCTGTATAAAGAGGGGACATTGTTCGACGCGAAATTCCTTCAAGTATCTGGAATGCGAATCCACAGAGCTACACATTATTTCGTGGCGTATTTTGACGCGCGCGTCGATGCCGCGCTGCTCGCGGCCCTCCCTTCTTTCTCCGTTCTCTTTTCTTTTCTTTTCTTTTATTTATTTATTTACGTATACGCGTTATATATATTACTTTCTTTTTATGTAATCTCGTGTTTATTCACTCCACTATTTATCCTCGATCCACGCACTTTATTCTCGGCCTCTGATTCCGATCTCACTTTTTTCTCTTTCTCTCACGTAGCACGCGACCGGCCCGGCGGCCGCTTACTTACGTGTAATGATTCGCCTTTTCCGCCTGAGCTGTCAACAAAGGTTTAGAGTCGGACTTCATCTTGGACAACACAACCGAGATATACACGCGCGCGCGCGCGCGCGTCACACGCACGGACGTACAGGCGGACACGGCACTCTCTCTCTCGTCTTTCACGTCGTCCTCGTCGTCGCCGTAGCCGTCGTCGACGCCGTCGTCGCCGTCGCGTAGTCTCTTTATCGTCCCTTTTCCCCGCTGTAACCTCAGCCGTCTATCGAAAACGGAATGCGGGACACACGGCGCGCACGACGCAATACGCGTTATATGCGCCTCGATCGTCCAATCACCGTGCTCCTTTCACGTCACGTGATCCCGCCTCTTTCAAGGTCATTGGTGTTTTGGTTCGCTCGCACATAAACACGCACTCTTGCAAATGCCGGTGTTATGGCTGAAAAGTCTTCTCACACTCCTTCGTTCGATCCTGCTTGCTTTTCAATACCTAATAATGCTATGTGACATTTTATTTGCTCAGGGAAAATAGGACGCTGATAATGCAACGATCGATTCTCGACCTCGATCAAGTTCCGATTCTCTGCTACGTTCTCGCCGATGTCAAGTCCGCAACGTGTGGACGTGCCTTTCGCAAAAACCAACTACCTTTTTCTTCTCGATATTTCTCCATTAATATCTTCTATTACGTCGCCGTTCTTTAATCATTTCCTGCAAGCTTCAAAAATTAAATCGTACACATTCACAGACATCTTTCATACGCAGTTCAATAAATTTTTGTTGTTCAAACATACTTCATTTTCGTATTTCTTTTTCTTCCTTTTTAATATAAACGGCTGCGTAATTCAATAAAAATGTGTTACATTTTAGAAGATTATAATTTTCTATTGAATATCTTGTTCTGTTCAGTTTGTATTGCGATTCAGGAATGTCAGCTTATAGACACGCTTAGGAATGTCTAATGTATTCGTTTTTTTCATCGTAAGAATATTATGGGATTTTAATGACTTTGATCTTGTCCACTCTCGCTTTCACTTTTACACCGTACTTGTTTCAAATTACATTATTTTCTTTGGTCGTGGATCTTACAAGTTTCACAACTTGATCTTCTTAACACGATCTTCTACACATCACAGACACGTTTGTTTGCCGCAAGCCGTTATCGTAAGAGTTACACGAATGAATCATCTCTTATCGCTTCTTTGCGGCGATCTTGATACATATTTAGATACCCCTGTTGAGTACGGTCAGCTACAATAGTTTTTCCTTGGTGACGATTGTCGGAACTTACTCGACCACGTTTCGCGATTTGTAAACCGCGACGTGCAACGTTTAACACGACCTTGTCGCACTCCAACGATTTCGCTTACTTTCCCCCTCTCACTTGAACAAAAAATAATATAAATTTCTGTACCTCATCGGTTACCAATATTTATCGCATACTCAATAAACATTTTACGAAATGAATATCGCTTGATGTATAACCTGTTCTCTTAGGCATCTTATTCCGCGTAAACTGTTAGACTATTTGCAATTTCCGCCCAAACGATATGTGTATCAGAAAATGGCATCTCTTAGCGCATGCGCAGTTGCGGCTTCTTGAAGCATCAAATTTTGCGACCAATCAAAATAAAAATACGCAGCAAATTTTATCTACCTAGTGCTCGTTCAACAAGAAATTATGCTCGATTTGCGCAATGTAGCTCACTTCAGACTTCCTGATTTGTATTTTATTAAATATATACACAATGAATAAAATATATGGATAATAATAACATGGACCAGGACTGGTTAGATTTAGAAATTTAAGAATTTGAAAAATTGAAAATTTAGACATTTAGAAAAGCGGGACTTTTAGAATTTCAGAATGTTACAATTTTAGAATTTTATAATGTGAACACTTAGAAATTTGGGGTTTTGGAAATTTGGATCACTAAGTATACACGCTGGGCGTTAGAACGTCGTAAATGCGCATGCGCATCATTTTGGTCGCGATGCGTAGAATGAACCAAAATTCGTCGCATAATGAGAATGATTTCATTTTTAATGAATAATATTGTATACGATAATTGATTTAAAATAATTTTTTTATATATTGAAATAAAAGTAGAACTTTTCATAGAACTCTCTCGTCAACATTAAAAAATAATATGAGAACAGCAATATATTTATCTATTTTTTAATAATGTTCATGTTATTAGATCAAAATGTTCATGTTATCAAAATGTATTAACTCATTATTAAATTGTTTATTTATGACTTTCATATTTCGCTATCAATGATATAAATTTGACATTTCTACGTATAAAGGAAGTTTGCTTACTTTTTAACTATTTTGTAAAAAATAATTAAAAGGATAAACATGAAAATATAAGTTCTTCTTTCATCGTATTTAAGTTTAATGTGTACAAAAACGTAAAGAAATGCGATAATATTAAGGAAAATGTCTACATACAATGATTTCAAATGTTTTTGTTGAGAAGGACATTTCAATTATATTGTTATAATATAAATAATAGTTTGTGATAAAAAATAATCACTAAACTAAAAGTTTGTAATAAATTGTAAATAAATGTTTCTACTATGTTACATTATGCCAGTACGCTTATATTACGCAATCATACTTTTGTACAGCTTACAATTTAATAAAATTCGCTAAAAACAAAATGTATGTCAAGTATTAGCAATAACATGACAATTATAAATAATGTATTGAAGCTAGAATTAACCTATACGTAATTTCAGTTTCTATGTAAATTTGTAGCTAGTTATGACTTCCAACTTTTGTTGTTAGTTTCAATAATATTGCAAATGTATACGTTACTACTTTTGTTTACAACTTATTTGACTTTGTACAATTATATTCTTGTCTACCGTGTATTTAAAGAAAGTCTTGTAGTACGCTAACATACCTAGACACAAACTAAATGTGAACCATTCATCAGACTGATAAAAATATAATGCCTTTACAGTATATGAAAATAATACACATTTGGTTTGTACGTATGCATGTTTGATTAATGCTACATTCATAATACAATACTTCCTACAATTGTTAGATTTATAATAATACATACTACTGATTCCTTGTCATCATGCATCATTCTCTTTTCATAAGAAATAATATTTTGAGTATTTTATTCTGATTTTCTTTCCTTAAACTTCGCTTATCTCTGTAATTACGGATAATCCTTTGAAACATTTAGATTATAATTTCTAAGATTAATGTGTTTATATTGCCATTGAAAAAATTGTATATACTTATACGTTTATTTATGGAGCAGACAGTTATTAACAGCATGTTTCTTTTAAAATTATGTTTCAAAGAATTAACGATCATAATCATTGCCTTTAATGTTAACAAATCAAATTTACATAATATTACATAAAATTTTGTCAGTGTTATTCAATTAATTCTGAATTGCAATGCAAGTAATTATATATCCAATGTACCTTTTCGTTAGCTAAGTTTTTTACTTTGACATATTGCATCGTTCTGTTTGCCATCTGATATACTTAGGTTTGCACTAATTTTGAGCACTCCTTGGATGGATATTATGCAATTATTAATTAACTGTATAGTTATTACTATGACAGTATCTTCATTGGATGTTTTCTTTTGGATGGACTTATATGTTATAGTAGTAAATTCAAAGGCAATTTTAAAAATGTGCCTTTCTTTAAAAATGGAGCGCTTAGTTTCTTAACTATTATTTAATTTGACAGCAAACAAAGACTGGTCAAAAAATTGTATAACCGTTTTATCGCTTAATGTTCCTACGCTTTACGACATCTAGATTTAAATACCTATTATTAAGATTTTCATCGAATTTTAGTGAATATTTTTTAAAGTTCTGATTAATGATATTCTGTAAAATGTATTTTTCATACACAGATCCATATACTGTGTATTATTTCATTCAATTGTATCGAGACATATAGTTTTCAAATATTATAATTTAAACAAACAATTTTTGAAAAATATTACAATTGTCATTAATATATATTGTGCGATTTTAATTGTTATAAATTTCAAGATTGTATAACATTCTTTTTATATTACTGAAAATTTTCACTTTCATAGTATGTCTCAACACTTTCAATATATAGAAGACAAAACTTATATCTCATCAGTTGCACTGCTCATAGAAATATATGATGCAATTAATTAACTTATATATATATATATATATCAACAATGTTATGATTAGAAACAACGAAGAACACAGTTAAATAATATCAGGGAAATGTTTAGGCGTTTAAAATATTTCTATCCAGAGTTCATTCTTACATTTGTAATTTAATTTTGAAGTGAAAATTTATTAATTTTAATGGTTAATAGTTCTAATTGTCATAAGAATAATTCATTGGTGTTTACATGTATATTACAAATGAATGAAAATTATCTGTAACTTAAGTTAACGAATTACTGTCAGATTATACAATATACTGGCAGCTTGAAATTTGATAAATGCTTTAAAGTGAAATAATCTTACGACTTCATTTCGCATTACTTATGTAGATATTAAAAGGGAGCAAACTTTTACATATTCATTTAAATGGCCTTTAGCGTAAACAACAAGAAAATGTCTTTGAAATATTATTACATTAACAAGTTTATTTATACAATTAACTACCTATGTACAATATATCAATAAGAATGTTGTATAATTTTAACATAGATTTAAAGAGGCTTTTTTTAGAATGGCGTCTGCCATTTATATGCTAAAATTCTAATTATTTGCTCTGTTTATAACCTGTATACATAAAAGTTATGAATCGATAATGACATCCCAGACTTCGCAGATGAGCATTCTATACTTATCATTATTATCAACCATGAGTTTTCATGTAATTTTCATAGAAATTAATACTTATGGTAGTGATCACTGATTAACTATAAATTAATCAAAGATCAACTTAAAGATGGATTTATAACACATTTCAATATTCTACTGTGTTGAAATTGATATCAGTGTACTGATCAAGTATACATAATAATATATAAATTAATATAAAGCTTCCATAAATATTTGTTTCGAATATTTAGTAAATGTTCTCCTTATACTTGATTTTAGCTTGTAAAATTTTGATATATTTTTATGCATTTTGTGCCACGTTCCAATGTAATGCTTAGTAAAATTGTAAGATATTATTTAATTAAAAAATGAAAAAAATTTGTTCGCAACTGCTGAATATGTTCTCGTTTAAAACATATTCAAATTACATTCTCAAGTACAATTAAATTGTATCTAAAACGATATTGTCTCTAACTTACGTTTCTTAATGAAATAAGTTTCGCAAGTTCAAATTATAAATTTCATAAGAAGGAAGTTTGACTTAATCTATCTCGTAAGAATAGAAGTCAAATGAATAAATGCAAATTTAAAAAAAAAATGTTATGGACGAAAGATCATAATTAAACCTACATTGTTCGTTTTTTTCAAATAGTTATTTGTTTCTACTCGCACCTATTATGTATAGTATATTTACCTGGTGTAATAGTAAATTTAATTCAAACAGTTGTTCCATACGTACTGAACATCACTCTGGTGGTATCTGTATCCAGAGTAACGTCTTCTGGAGATGCTAAATCGACTTTTATAGATCCAGAATTATTTCTTCTTCTCGTCATGCCGCCACCCCAATTTGATAATGTCCAATGATACGTTTCGCCCTCCTTTTCTGTATTCGTCGTTTCTTGCGTTTCGTTATCTTTGTCTAAGCCAGTCTCTACAGAAACTGAAGAATGTGAAGCTACAGAATCGAAACTGGAATCAGCTGCTCCTCTGTAACGACTAACGTATTCAGTGGACATTTCACCAGGAGATTCTTCTATCGCTCTCAATATATTTTGACAGAGTTCTGAATCGAGTGGAATCGGATTCTCGGAGTCGCGATTGTGAATGGTAACAGCTATGTGAGCTGGATGTGGGATAGGAAGCGGAATAAGTAACTTTTCCGCGCTGTAAGGACGAATCTGTCGTTTCCACGGCTGCCAGCGTGCTTCTGTCGTACCATTTGTCGATGTTGTGCGTCTTCTAATTTTGGTAGATGTCAGAAGTCCTCCGGTATCACTGTAAAACGAATAACTACCGTATTTCTATTTTTTACCATTAACTGAATGTCTTCAAAACATAGGCATATAAAAACACAGCAACTCTGAACATTATTTACCATCGTTTGTCAGATTTCCTGCTACTACTATTTTGTTTAGCTCGTGGATTAAAAGCTGAGACTTCTAAGTAAGGGCTGTAAACTTGTATGTTTCCTCGTGGAGCGTAAACAGCCCCCAGTAAATCTGGGCCATTGGTTCCACCAAGTTCAGTACTGTGGACCATATCAGTATAACGTGACAAATCCACACCTGGATGAGGTTCTAATCTGAACTTGGTATCTGCGTCATCAAGAGGTTGGAGGAAATTTAAACTAAAAATGTCCGCGTACATAAGTCCAGCTAAGCCGGCCCAGTCACCAACACTTAAACCTTTGTTTTCCCAAAAGTCTTCCTCATTTCCTGTCAATCTGGCGAAGACGTGGGTAGGATAAAGTCGTTCCAACATGAGAGCCCCCTGTTGTATCACCACCTACACATCATTAACATATTAGTAAATTTAACATTATAAACAAATTTGATATAACCAGTGTAGTTAAATGAACAATTACTTTCAAATCGAAGGTAGTAAGTTTTATTTTACTTCTTACAACCATTCCAAGACCAGTTTGCAAATTTTTTCTACGTCTATCTAATTTCTCGTGTAATACAGCAATCAGATCTTTGGCTTCCTTTTCAAGCGATTTGTAAGGATCCTTTGTTTTGGCAAGGCTAGCAGCGAACGGACCAAAACAGGCCTCCACAAACTGAGTGAAATCTCTTTGTGGTTGGGTAATTAACCGTTCTGTTTCTTGCTGGAAAGCTAGTAATTCATCCAGCTCTAATTTAGCTTCAAATGCGGCCAATGCTTGTTCAGGTCTAATCTATCAATAACAATGAATTATTTAGTTTCTGGACTCTTTCAGTAGTTGCAATTAATGATACCTACTTGATAATAATAATCAGATGTTAATCCTGGTCCAGCTATTCTTTTAACCACAAAACTATCACTGGCAGGTATACGACCCCTGTTCTTTATTACTAAATGGAACATGGTCGTGTCCCAGACCACTCTAATCCAATAACGTATCACAGCAACTACATAATATTATAGTTGGAATAATTCTGCTGAATGTAAATTACATACTACGTCATTATGAAAAAAATTATACCTGTAAGTATCACAAAAGAAATGATGGGGCACAAAGTAAGAGCTACAATTAATGCTGCGATTGGCTGCAGACACCCTTGTATACCAATATTCCAAACTAACGCCTCCATAATAACAAAGTATCGATTTCTACTTGGTTCTGGACTATCCAAATCCATTATAAGTGCCATAAACGCGTGCAGAGCTAAAGTAATCAAAGGCATCCTAAAACAATTCTTATATTGTAAAATTTGGAAATTTGATATTATAATTGAAAAAATAATACGATTAACATACCATAAAACCGCAGTAAGCGCAATTAGAAGCGATCCTAAACTCGTGATCACACACACGATAGGAAAAACAAATAATATGATGAGTGTTCCTAAAAGACCCTTGACGCCATAGTTCCATAGCCTATTTAAATGCCTCGTCATTCCTTTCCCAATAAATCCTATAACAAAATAAATATTAAATTAAGAACCAATCAAACAATTATATATTATACTATTATATAAATATACCAGTGTCCGGTTCGGTTTCAAAATGTGTTCGACTTTTGCTAATATGTCTCCAAAGTGCAATTAACCGAGAACAAAGAGTGGGCATTTGGGACGATTTTCTGGGAAATAAAGTTCCATTTAGTTGACTCAATTCTAGGTCAGGGGTAAAAGGTTGCACGAGTAACAGAGCTCGTATGGAGACTGGACTACACCACGGTACAGCTACACCTAACAGGAACATTGCATTCCAAGTCCAACACCATGTTCTAGCAACGTAATTGATCCAACGCCACATAGGCCACCTATGCAAACGTTTTTGAATAAAGTAACTTCCCAAGACTTTAAAGTATGATTACGTTATTGCAATATACCTTGTTGTGGTTGTATGTACGATTTCTCGTTCAACTAAGAAGACAGGTTGACTTGGATCAGCTCTAGGCGTGGTAATGGATGTAGGCGTATTGCTCAGCACTGTCGGTATGATTTCAGACTGGCCTTGAAAATTACGTCTGATGATCCAATTTTTTGGAAGCCATATTTGTGTTGGCCATTGGAAGCTCCTAGTAGGCGTTTTTACTTTTCGCAATTCTTTTAATAAAACTGGTTCTCTCTAAAAGGAACAATCATATTGCAATCATAGGAAATAACAAAGAAAATAAAGGTGTGCAAACTTGATGTACCTCCTTCATAAACGTTAAATCACGATTAAGAAAATAAACAGTTTGTTGCAGATTTTGATGAGTACACAGCGTGAGAGCTTCTTCGTGAGCACTCCATTCGCACTCTTCTATAAACTTCTCTTCCACCTCTCTCATTCTATCACGCATCCAGGGTTCTATTCGAGAAAGAACCGGATGCTCATTTTCGATATGACGTCTCAGTGCTTCTTTAGTTTGCAACAATTTACGCTGAACTGTTTCTATAGCTCGATGCATCAATACGACGGATTGTGCTTGTTGGACAAGAAGTTGAGCGATTCCGTTCCCTAGATCGAGTATGTCTGGATGTGACAAAATGTTAGAGAAAACTCTTTGCAGATATTCTCTCATAACAGCTTCGTTGACTTCCTGAAATTCATCGTAAGTGACAAAACTGTACATCGAATGAAATCAATGAATTTTATTATCATCAAAAGTTGTACTCTTTCAATTTCTTCATCCGGTTTTTTTCGCGCTCTCAATTCTGATATCAGTCTTTCTCTAAAATGAAGAAACCAGCCTCGTGTCTCTCTCTCCAATATAGCAACTAGAATCGGTAAAGCTTTTCTGATAATGTCTCTGCTAAATAGTCTAAGATCAACCACTGCTCCGCCAGGTGTTCCGAACACGAAAGGAACAGGAATAGGCAATAACTGCGACAGTTCTCTTTCCACTTCAAATTTCTCCATGGTCGCTCGTCGAAGTTGTTTCCGGACGAAGCCGCACAGGAGTTCCAACGAATCTTCATACTCCGGCTGAAAAGTGCATAGCCTATATATATCTTTATAAGCGATGCCTGAAGAACTAAAACTACTTGACTCCTTTCCTTACAAATTCATAACGTTATTAAGCAAGAAAATGTTTACCCTGCAAACTAACTCTGCAACCAAGTATCGACACCTCTCTTCCTTGATTTTGGCATCTAGATTATGTGCTTGAAGTGATGGCACGCCAATTGTTATATCTGACAAGGAAAATATCACATATTAAGTTTGTGGATGAACGTGAAGAATATCTTTTAATAATATTTGATAAATTTTACCAAGTAGTCGTAACAGTCCCGTTAGCAATGCTTTCAAAGACTGTGAAACGCTGAAACAATGAGAGACAAGCCTGGCTTTAGCCGTAACCACAAGGAACCTGGTTGCCAACGCAAGATCTCGAAGCAATGCGTCTCTCCTCCTGTCTCTCCCGCGTTGAAGAAGTCCACTTAATCTCCATCGATGCGTTTGTCCAGAAAAGTTGATTGAATCCACTTCGAATTCCCTGAAATATGAAGCACATGTTAGAGTTGTCGATTCTTGGACAAAAGGGTGAGAGAGGTCCAGAAACAGAACGTAAACGTCTACATCGTGTAAACGAAATATTAACATGTTCCATGGAAAAAATAGGAAAAAAGCAAAAGTATAATTCTTTTACAATTCACACATCATACTTCAGGAATATGTTAATAAGAAAAATACCCTGAAAAATATATGAAAATCTGTTTCCACAACAGGAAATCTGTGCATTATTACAATCCTTCAATTCATCACCTTCTCTACCCTTGTTTCATGGTGCTAAAGCTACTAAAAGGAATTGACGGCTATAATACAAGCATGTTCTAACATTGTGGGTATAAAAAAAAAAGACAACCTACACCATTAACATATTGTATTCTATAGCAACTAGGTTGTGTTATTTTCATGCGGTTCAACAATTATTATGTTTGTTAAAAGCTGCATTGAGTTCATAAAACCTTTGTGTAAATCATACAACAATAATAACAATTTTCGGTCAACGATGTGTTTGACAATGTTTTGTACATTTAATGTATATAATGGAAGGAGACGAGTATCATCATGCTGTTTTAAATCCTGTTTACAGTTTTAAAGGGAGAATAATCGTTCTTTCTGATTGCTGAGAAGTCGTGAAAAATGATCCTAAGTTATTGTACAAGGCGTGGTATCAATAATCAATCGTTTTGGGTGAACTGGTTGCTCTGTGTGCATGTGTGTGTATGTACGTGTTAGTGTGTGTACGTGTATGACATACCCGCATCTTCGAATGCTCTCCAATTGAGTGGCATTCAGCTTCTTCGGTTTTCCGTACTTCTCCTTCTGAAAGCTTTACAATAAATTGTTAGAAAATATCAGACACATCTTTAGTTGTGCGTTCGTTAACCAGACAACAGTTCAAGGTTGTTCTTTTTTTACTATTCGACTTTTTTTTAATCTTTTTTAAATACCACCGACGCCAAATAAGGATTCAATTCCAATTGTAATATTTTTATCAATGATTTACAACCCCTTTTTTCTTTCTAGTGGCACAAGAAATACAGCATGGACCATATGTAATAAGGTAAAAACAAAACTCCAAGAGAATTTTGAAGGACGACGGATTATTCTAATGCAAATAAGTTCCTTGTACCCTATGAAATGGCATTTGCATCATATAAGTCTTAAATAAAGCCTTGTACATCGTTAGTGGATACTTCGTATGCTGTGCTTAGAATTGTGTAACATCTAACTCTAAGGGATACAATTACTATTTTTCGTGTTTTACTATATTTTGAAGCGCTTGTAATTTGAACATCAATGTCATTAATCTATGAGTTGCAATGATATGAATGATTGATACAGATTCAACACGATTACCATCAAGCTTCAAATGGATATGACATAAGTGCTATTATGTGATACTTGTATGTCATCAAATCATGTCAGACTTCCTACGCATCATAGTTCATTAAGTTCAGCATAAAATGTGCCCACAAATAATCTGAAAAAATATACAGTTCCACTTTAAAAAAACCACAGTTAATATAATATAAAAAGACATATATAATTCTCTATATCCTCAATAATTAAAAACTTAGGAAGACCTTAATTTCATTTCTATTGAATACATTTAATAATTTGTTGATTTAATCATTCATGTATTGCAACTGCAAGATCACACTGACGTGATAGCTTAAAAGTTCTGATACTACTTCTATCTACAGAGATAGAGAGAAAAATACTCAAGTGAAGTTTATTTAAAATACCTACCCCCGTTTGCTGATGCTCTCTAATTGCTTCTTGGTCAACCTCCTAGGTTCACCCTTGCTATCCACAGCGACTGAATCAAGTTCATCGAAGCTAGGTGCTACAAACAAGTCCCTAAGGTGGTGCTTCTTCCTGGCAAGAGTATCTTCACCTTCCGTGCACGTGGATAAAGGAGGAGGAAGAACAATGGGAAATGTTCTCCAATGGTAAAGGAACTGTTGTGCAACCTCTTTGATGTTATGCACCAATGCCTCAACTTCAGCTGGTGCACCCCGCAAATGCGACGTATCAAATTCCACTGGCTCTTTCTATAAGCACAATTTTTCTTTTTAATGTTATGGTTTATATTAGGTAATATATATTAGGATACATTTATGGTACTATATTTTTATAAATATATATTTGAAAATTTATTGACAAGAATTTTAAAACACAGTGTATATGAGAATAATTATTAATTTGAAAGAAGGGAACACAATTTCAGGCATTTAATCTCCTTAAACTAAAACTACTTTTTATGCTCTAGAAACGCACATGGTCAGCTAATTAAAAATTAACGATGAATCGTCGTACTAAGAACTGTTTGCTGTTACAAAGCAAAAATGTAAATTTTCGACGATAAATACTGTAGCTATATTTCGCAGTCTAGAAATTTAGAAATTGATTCATCAGCGCCATTCTTAACCCCTCAATTGACAACCGCTATAAATTAAAATTACATAGGTCTATTAATAAAACTCGATTTCTCCATTAAGAAAAGAAAAGAAGAATCGTTCACCCTCTTTTAAATTCTCCGTCTCGAGGACGACGATTAGAGGATCTCTTTCATAAGATAGATCTCGATTCACGAACAACGAGTTCATTCTTCGAGTCTGTTGAAAGGCAGGCACGCGTGTTAGGATCTCGCCTCTCCTCCCGCGTGTCAGTTGTTGAGAAATGTTCATGGAATTTTCATTAGAATTTCATCGAAACGCGTGGACAATACCTCTGGCTGGAGTCCATCTCCATTGGGTCGATGATAAGGCTGGTGATTGTAGGACTGGTGATTCGGTCCCGTGTTGGCGGAGTTGACGGAAGCTGAGTTCAAATTGTGGGGCATCTCGCGCGTGAAAAGCGTGCGCGGCGGCTGGGGTCAGCTGCCCCGTATCCCGACTATCTCTTCATACACCATGCTGCTGGTCGCCACCATTTATCATTCCACGCTCTGCACAATTCAATTTGTTCTTATTCCCATTTGCTCTCCCTTTTACGCGTACATAAATTCTTTATACATTTGTATAGTACAATATAGGCAGGACTTGAGTAGAGTTGTCGTTATCGATACATTGGCGAGACATCGTTAAGACGAATACGTAAGAGGTTAAAATGATCACGTGTAATTTTATGTAGTTTTCAATAATATAAAAAGAAGATATAGGACTGATTTTTAGAGGATATATATTTTATTAAGAAACAAGTACTGCGTAATGAATGCGTAACGCATTAGGACATGTTTACCGTACTACTGCGCATGCGCAGTGAAGGACGGGTAGATTTAAATGTCAAAATCTTAACCTAACATCCCACCCTATTAGACACAATTAAAAATTATTTTATACAGTTAAAAAATGTAACAATTAAAATTGTTTAATATGATATTAAATTATTATGCAGCACTATGCAATGTAAGTATATATCAATTTGTATAGATTTTTTTCAGTGACAGGAAGTACAGAGCATTTAGATTATTTGCAGGTTTATAGTGGTATAGTTCCAACGGGAAACGTGAGACGTTCTGCCAGTGTAGAACAATATGAAGTCCCTCGAAAGGAATAGAGCTCGAACGATCTTTTCTTGGCACAAAAGAATGATACTTCTAGATAATTACAACGCGTAATTACGACCTGAGCTCTCTCACCTGAGATTCTCCGATTTTTTCTTTCAGGCCTTCGTAAAATACGGGAACGCGGATTTCTTTAAGAGCTTCTTAGGACTGGCTACAATTTCATTGTGCTATACAATAATAAGGCAAGAATTCCAAAAGTCAATCAGTATTTTTAAAAGACTAATTCTTATTTTTTTTTTTTTAGTAATAAGGACTTTTGATATATTATTTAAAAAGAGTATATGCAGATACAAAATGGCGGTACAAAATAGAGCTACAAAATGGAGGTAGAAAATATAACCCATTGGAATTATTTTGAGATAAAATTTTCCTGAATTGTACCGAATAGAAATTCTTGCGTAAAAGTAGATTTTATTCGATACACATGTCGGTTAGACGGAGCAAGAAATGGAATGCTCAGAATGTTAATCGTATAATGGGGTATAATCGGTTAATGGGAGTCTGCATTCAGTCGAAGCCTCTATACTGGATGATCACGTTCTTTGGTCCCCTTTTATAAAATACTGCTTCTTTTGTCGCGGGATATTTAAAGAAACACGTCTCCAATTACAGCATCTAAAAATATTGTTACAATATTTTATTATATGTCTTATTAAAAAAATAAGGGTATGTTAAGTTTAAAAAAAAATAATAAGGGTATGTTAAGTTCTGCATATTAACGAGAACAAAAAGTGCGATCAAATCGATCAAATCAATTTCTGGGGCACTCGACTTTAAGCGAGTTGCAGTCACGAACTGCAATGAAGTGCAAAATGATATACGACCATTTCAGCATTGATTTATTCAAACTGATAGACAGATAAAAGTGAAATCTTACTTCCTGCTATTTTCTGAGAATGGCGGGGTGAAATCAATTGATCTTACAATATGCTACTAATTCCCAGACTATCAAATTTTTTCAAACTAGCAGATTTTTTATAAATTCATAAATTCTCAGATATCCTTTATAAATTAAAAAATTCCTAATTTTTAAATCACTGGATTACGACATTCTTGAACTCCTAAAAATGTTCAGATCTTTTTTCCATATTTCCAAATTGAAAATTCAATTCTAAAAAATTCAGCAAATTTAAAAAATTCGAATCTGTCATACGTCGACAGTATTATATAAAAAAATAAGAGGGCTATCGAATGAAATCAGTTGATCAGCCACACACGTAGCCAGCAATCAAGATCTCTCCCTGCTTTCGCACGAATCGCATGTTGAACGATCGAGCAATGTGCTACGTGTATTACAGGCATAGACTGGAATAGCAGCACTGTTTTAAGGTTACCAGAGCTTGCAAGCTTTTGAAGTGGGTCAAAAGCCAGCGCTCGCCAACCTACTTGGAACGCATTCGAGCGAAGTCGTAAATATTCTTTCCTGACGAAGCTCCGTGGTGAATCTTCGCCACGAGTAACATCAACACGTTTCATTTTAAAGCAATTCGTTGCTACTGTCGTTAATCGATCGCTTCACTGTCTTTCATACAGTTTTCCTTTGTAGTTGTGTTACAAAGGTTCATGTATAAAATGTTCATATGTAGACCCATCTCTGTACCATAATTTATGAGATAAAATAGATAAATTATAATTAAGTTGGATAGACTGGATGAAGTTTGATGGAAATGGTTTATTTGTAAATGACCTATCAAGGTTCCTATCAAGATTCCTATCAAGATTCCTATCAAGGTTCTTTGTAAATGACTTATCAAGGTTCCCATCAAGGCTCTTTGTAAATGACCTATCAAGGTTCCCATCAAGGCTCTTTGTAAATGACCTATCAAGGTTCTTTGTAAATGACAATGTGATGAAGGAATCTAATTGCTGTAAAGCATGTGGTTGTCCAAATTCAATTTCTTAAATTTTCAAGCATACAGAAGTTTGCATTTTCACGTACTCAAATTGGTGAATTGCTAAATTTCTTGGTTTCCAAATGTTTAAACTTCTGAACTCCACAATTTGCAAACTTCTAGGTCCTCAAGTTCTACAGTTATCATATTTCAACGTTCCTTAGTACCCCAATTTCCAAATCTCCAAATGTCCAAATGTCCAGATCTCTAAATCTCCAACTCTCCAACTGTGCAACTCTCCAACTCTGCAACTCTCCAACTCTCCAACTCTCCAACTCTCCAACTCTCCAAACCTCCAACTCTTCAACTCTCCAACTCTCCAAACCTCCAACTCTCCAACTCTCCAAACCTCCAACTCTTCAACTCTCCAACTCTCCAACTCTTCAACTCCTCATCTCTCCAATTCTCCAACTCTCCAACTCTCCAACTCTCCAACTCTCCAACTCTCCAACTCTCCAACTCTTCAACTCCTCATCTCTCCAACTCTCCAACTCTCCAACTCTCCAACTCTCCAAACCTCCAACTCTCCAAATCTCCAAATCTCCAAATCTCCAACTCTCCAAGTCTCCAAATCTGAAAATCCCCAAATTTTTAAATTTCCAAATCTCCAAAATCCCCAAACCTTCAAATCCCTAAACCTCCAAATCCTCAAATCCCCAAACTCCCAACTCCCCAAATTATTAACCTTCCTACCCTACCCAAAACTTCAAAAATCCCCAAATTCCCAAAAGCCTAAACTTGCACCTCCCCAAATATCTCTTCCAGCATCTCCACCGCAATAACCACAAAATTTTTATTCAACACGACAAATAAGAATCGCCTCTCCGTTTTCCGTCAAATCGTAAAACAACGTCACGCCGCATAAAATTACAAGAAACACGGTGTAACACTGCAAAGAACAGCTTACGCGTGCATCAGCAGCGAGAAGTGCATAGAAAAAACACGTGACAGAGTATACATAAACGTGTACATACGTGCACCAGGTACATAAGAGAAGCACACTTCATTGTCGAGCTCTCTGGTCGTCTCATTTCAACGTGCTAGTTGAATTGCGTCTTTTACGCAGCGTTCGGATTCAGAGGGGTACAATAACCTCATAGGAAGATCCCTTAATCAAATTTAGGGATACGTTTCCTACATTTAATAACTTGTGAGATATTTAAAAAAAAACATCAGACATGTTTCAGTTAATACTATGCATCTTCCTTGGATGTTTGAATGCAAGCCATGAGAAACAACACACCTATAACATTTTTAGAAACATGCTGAAAAAAGTTCCAATTTGATTTTTCTCATTTTGTTCATTTTATGTATATTACTGTTTGTACCACCAGGTGATTGCAAAAAGCACGACCCACCATTTTTGAAACAGTTTCGTGTTGATCGAGCAAGATTTCCATAGCGTGTTAATTTTACGAGTGACTATGTGCTCGCCACAGTAAATAATGGTTTCTTCGGAAGACGTCCAGAAGGAGTAGAACAGAGGGACTGCTGGTGCTGCAAATACGGGTCACACTCGATAGGAAATGCAAAGGGGGAGCCGGGATATTTCCAATAACGATTCCTCTCAATCTGGAGCACTGGTGCTCGTTATCCGGCCAACGATTACTTTGCCAAAGGAACAAGACCACCGAATACTCTTTTTCTCAGATATCACCGATACACCGATCCGTTCGAATACAATTTTTACGATTGAGTGTACGTTCCACTATTGAACTCGTTATCAATTCCGTTAAAGCATTAAGAACGGTTCTGTCTCGAGTACCGAGATGAAAAATCCACGGAAGAATTGAAGAGCTCGAGCTACCAGTGGCAGAGAATTTGCAATATTTAGAACGCAAAGTTTGCACCAAACAAAATTTGCGGAGTTTCAAATTTCATCCAACTATTAATAAAAAAGATTGTGGACATTTTCTGTAGAAAATAGTTTCTGATAGGCGTAAAGATACAATGCAGAGCAAAAAGGATGAACACAATTGTTAAAGCCGAAGCTCCAGACAGAAGGATACCATCCATCGACTTCGCGCTGAAATATGCATCGAAAGAACCGGAAATAGAGAAATTATCAAGGGAATTGCAGGGAAGACTTTTTTCCTCTCGTTTCTTTTCACGCGACGCAGGGTGAAAACCACTTCAAACATTAACACGGCTCTCCTTTCAAAAAGACGTCATCGTACGCATGATTTCAATGACAAGTATCCAGACAAACGAGGAAACGAGTTCCTTCGCCGTCGGAAGCACCGTCATTATACAGGGTGTTCTAGTGATCCGCTCTTCCGATACAATCGACGCGGTGGAACTTTTGAATGGTTTCCATTAATACCATGTAATTGAATATTTTGTAATTATTGAAAGAAGATAAAGTTAAAGGATGTACTGTGAGAGTAGAATATTTTAGATTAGTTGAAAAGTAGTTGTAATCGATGAGATTATCGATCGACGTTTTGGGGGAACCGGTAGCGTCGCAGACTACAAATGCGAGGGTCC